TTCTAGCATGGACAAAATCAGTCATTCAAGTCCTTTATCCCGAACCCCTACTGAGACGCAAACTGATACAGCGTACAATGCACACTACACATGCACACACACACACACACACACACACACACACACACACACACACACACAAGTGTGCATGGTACACAGAGCTCTTTCTTTTAATACGTTACATACTGTTCGATTAGTCTAATTATCACTGGCAGTTTGCCTTGGGTAGTAACAGCTGTTGTTTTTATCCAAGTATTTTCAGGAGTGTGGAGGCGCTCTACTACAGGTGGGAACAACTGTATTTCATATCAGCAACACACAGACACAAACACACACTCATATTCAAATTAAATATTGAAATATTCCATCACACGGTAAAATAGGAAACTCTCCACCTCTGTATGTCTCTATATATGTCTGTGCTGTCACTAGTAAACCATTTTAAATCCCTACACAGAAGCTTTTATCTCTCCTTATCCTGAACAGCCAGTAAAACCCTACATCTTTTATATATCGTATGTATAGTAAGCATTTTATAACCCCTGCATTAATTCTAGCAGCTTAGTGAAATTTATCAACCTGAGATCTTCTATGAATAATTCCATAATTTCTTCTGATTTTGCATAAAATTTTTTTTGTAGCATTATCATGCAAATGTAATCTTTTCGAACCTTGAACTAAACATGTTTCCTGTTTGCTTTGTACGTTGTTCCTTTACCCTAAAACAGTGGCTGGTTTCTACTCCCAGCGCCAAAGGAAAGGAAGAAACAGACAAGAAAGAATAGATGTGATAACAGATACTAAGCAGGTTTATAATTAGTCTAGAAGTCTAAGAGAGAGAGGCAGTGAAGGAATGGTGAGAGGGTGATGAAGGATACAGATGAGAGTGGGGAAACTTGGTGGAATCAGAGAGGTAAAATATTTAGATACACACACACTGACCCACATGCACACTCAACAACAAAGGCGCCAAACTTTATAGAGAAAGAAGGAACGGCTGCTCCTTTCACTATTCAATTAGGAGGAGCAAACTGCAGCCTCTGTACCTCTCTTTAGTCTCTGTTTCAACCCACAACTGCTCGATTATTTGACAAAATTGTTCATTTAATTCTTTAATGAGAAATTAGTACAACGTAAATATAAATCTTTCTTAGTTATAGGCGTATTTTTATCAATATCTATTAGTCATATTTTATAACTCCTTTAACCTTTCACACACTGTCACACAAAAGAAGAACTTCAGCTCTCACATTGTGAAAAATATAAAGCTGCATTTTCTAGAAAAGAGAAATAGAAGGATGGTCATAATATGGCATCACTAAGTCTGTCATCTCTGGAAGTTGCACATTTTTGATAATTTCAGAAAACACTTCTGAGATGATGTTTTGGGTGCAGGTGTCTTCAACTCCACAGCAAAAAAGAAAAGAAAACGTTTAAATGGTTACAGACAGTTTATTCCTCCCCTTAAACTCTACGTCTTTGCACTGACAAGAACAATGTGGTAATCTTCTTTTATCTCTTTATCTCAGATTAATACCAGTATGTGTCAGAAACTTTATTATTCATTGAGGAGTTATATAATACAGTGAGATATGTATCAGGGAAAAAGGAAAATAAATTTGGATCGGAGAATATCACTATGAATTAGACTAAATGAATTGCCTTTAAATCTAAATACAGTCTCTTGCACACACACACACACACACACACACACACACACACACACACACACACACACACGCGCACACACACACACACACTTTGTGATTTATCCGGAGCTCCAAGCATCCTTTACAAGCTAGAGTTGCTACTTGCAAGGTATAATTTTCACATGAAGAACAGGAATATCTACTAGAAACTATTCCTAAGTGGCCTGAGGATGATGAGAAGTCCTTGATAGTGTTTACAGTTTAAAGCAAGCTGTCTTTGATAGCAGTGTGGATGACCTTAGCTGGAACTCTCTGAGCAGAAGAAACAGGTGAAGACTTTTCTTTTTTCTAAGTCCTTATAAGGAAGTGGTTGTTTGCTGGATTTTGGTTTATGTTTGTTCAATCATGTGACTTCTCAAAGAAAAGAAACGTAATAAATACAGATGTTTCCGTATTCACAAAAATCATTGAATGGTTCTTTAAGTATGAAAATGTGGAGCACGCGCTGTGACCTTCACAGTCAACTGACTTCAACCCAGTTTGGAGTGACGTGCTTGACAGCGCTCTCCACCTCTATCATCAGAACACCAAAAGCGGGAATATCTCTTAGAAGATTGGTATTCATCCCTGCAGTAAAGTGGGCTCGTTCCCGGAAAGTATGTGTCGATCCAAAGACTGGCAGGACAATTCTGGGAATCACTTCAGTACGTACATCAGTAAGTGAACGCATCACCTTTCATATGGCTTTAGTGCTGATTCTGTCAGCATGTTGCTGATTCAAGCTGTTACGTTCAGTTTTGTACAGCACTAGCCTATACAAGCACACATTATATGGGTCATGATTGTTTATGTAGCCTTTGAGTAATTAAATAAAGGTTATTAAAAAAAATACTATGCCTCATAATTCTGATCTTCAGACTTGTAGTTGACAAACAACCCACAAAGACACTATGTTGGTTTCCCCTCTGAAGGCCCAGTGTGTAGGATTTGCTGGCTAATAGCAATGCAATTGCAGATTGCAACTCCCTCGCTTCACCCTTCCCTTCCAAGGAGAAACTAATAATAAAATATAAACAGGTCTATAGAGTCAGCATTTGCTTCGTTTGTTCTGGGCCACTGTAGAAACATGGCGGTTCAACATGGCAGGTTAATTCTAAGGTAGCAAAAAAATAACGATTCTTATTTTGTTTAATGAAAACATACCTATAAATATTATATTCCATTTTTACCAAGAGATCCTCCTAAATGTTACACACTGGAGCTTTAACGTGTCACTGATCTGGTTGGTATGAGGCCCTAATGTGAAACATGTCCCAAGACTTCCTGTAGCAGCATCAGTATCCGTAGCATCTCCCTCTGCTGGTATGTGTTATACTTACTCATTTTATTTCAGTCTGGAAATGAAGCATTGACACGCACTAAGCCGGGACACTTTAAAGGAGTGTCACCTTTTTGATAAATCATTTTGAGTGACTACCCCTCCACCCACACATGCACATACACACAACAGTGATCAATCACAAGACCTGGACAATCTCGTCTTGATGATTAGCGAGGCTCCTTTTTGTGTCTCTTGAGAGTTTTTGTCTCAAGCAATTCAAAGTTGATCAATTCCTCTTCCTCCGTTCAATAGCGGACCATCAACAGCCTTCAGTAAACACAGTTCACTTCAGGGATGTTAGCTGGCTGGTCATTTGGAAAACAAACAAATGACCGTAGCTCTCTGGCTCATTTGGATTGTGTCACATTCACTTAGTTCTTTATCAATCACACAGAGACTGAGGAAGAGAAATGAAAGACGTGGTCTAGATGCTTGAACAGTGGAGGAAGAAATCCCAATAGGTGCTATGGTGCTGAGGGCCTGATGGGTGAGATGTGTGTGATGTTTTCCATAAATTGAAAATAGATATGGTTACATTTCCTTATTTAAAACAGACACATTTCACCATGTTGGACTCTTGGATTTGAAACAAAGAAGAAAAAATAAACAGATCCCGATGACTTAAAGTGATAATAAAGTGTATATACATCAAATACCTCCTGCAAGTTACACATTAGAGCATGCAAATAAAGGGAACACACACACACACATGCAGTGATGCACGTGCACATTTTGTCTTGATTTAGCACTACTGTTCCTGTCCACTCTCGCCTGCTGACAATAAATTATAAACACATTCCTTCACCGCTCTGTCACCAGGAGAATTTATTACCGTCCACAATGACAGCTTTGGTTGGACACAGTTCACAGCTTCTCAGATTCTTGGAAAGCCACGTGCTCATCAGTGAGAGCACACACACAGTTACGTATGCACAATACACAGACAGTAGAAAAAAGCCATGCCAAGCACACAAACACACACACAATGAGAATAGGATCAGCTGCCCAAAATGTTTTGAAATGTATAAACAAAATCCAGAAAATTCTGAAAAATAATAAGTAATATACATGGTGCATGAAACACAAAATATTGCTTCGTTGATTTTTGCAATATGACGTTAACAAAGCTCACCATGATTTATGAGACAGTCAATGCACAAACATTAATACAAAGAGTCTCTCTGCCCTGTTAGTGTTCAATAAAGTACTATTTTTTACTGTTTTATTTGCTTCCTGTCATCTTGTCATCTTTTCAACACTGAGTCATCCATCACTTGTATTCCAGCATTATTCATTTCTCTCCAACTGAAAAACAGACTTATTGAAAGAATTCAAAGTTTCATCATATTTCCCAAACCTCTCATCACTTTCTACAGTGAAGTGAAGCTTGAGAAATTTAGATGTCAAAAGTCTCTCCCTGATAGTCAGAAAACAATAAATAACACAGTACTGTGACTATATTTCATGGATGTGTATTTCTACCTATTCAAATATTATCATCCTTTTCTGTAATGTTTATCACCATCCATCCATCTATCTATAAACTCACTATTTTGTCCTTTATGTTTGCACGAGGGTCAGCAGAGCAACCAAGATGTTTATTCCCACAGCAGCTTCCTCCAGCTCCCTCTGGTGGATCATTCTGGCCTTCATCTCCACTCTGTCCTGGCTCTTCCTCCCAGTCCACTGGACATTCAACACTAGGGACGTCCTTTTCAACCAGAAACAACTACAAACAAGCCTTCAGTGCCATTTCTCTTCTTTCAATGAAGAAATACACCCCAGTTCTGTTATAACTGATCCTAAATAATGAAACAAGATCATCTTCATCAACATTAACTTTGAAAAAACTACGTTTAGCAGTTGACAGACATTCATTGAAATATGTTGAGTTGGATTTTACCAATACTTCACTATCAGTAAAAGTCCTAACAATGATGAATATATTGCTTTAACAAGAAAAACACGCATTATAGTGAGTGAAAATATTTATTATATTGTTAGGAAATGTATTATGCTAACAGAGTTACACAAATCTGTATTATATTGACAGGTTATTATGGTAAAAGAAATGTAAGTTTGCTGAGTAAACATTTCATACAAATATTTTAATAAGAACCACATAAGCTAAATGCCTGTAATTGTAAAAATTGTCAGGTGTGTTTGAAAATGAATTGCAACTAGAAGTATATCAGTATAATATCTGAGGTAAACATTGTCTTAACTTATTTTTATTCAACTACCACAACTGAAACAACAGCAGCTTTGACAGTAACAGTCTGAACTTGTTGAAATCTGTTTTATCAGAATGATTTTAAAATGCATTTTTGAGATATTTAGTAATCATTGAGGTTGAGGTAGCAGATTTCTTTCCTCTTGGATATTGCTTATTGAAATTAACCCTATCTAACGCAGGTTAAGGTACACTTGACTTGGGCCTGAGACACATTCAGTCAGTGTAAACATTGTAAAATATTTTTTTTATTATAGACCAAATATAACAAGACTAGGAAGCCTAATCAGCTGGACCAGTAGCCCAGTGAAGCAGCCATCTACAATATTTTAAAATTTCAGTATTGTGGCTCAGTTTAAGTAGTTAGCGTTGCTCCACTAATCATCAATAGAAGTTGATGCAGTCGTAGTGACTTCAGTAGCAGTTGTAGCAAGCGAGGCTGATGTCCCAGTCGAGCTCCCGTCGCGTGGTTTGGTACGGGGCCTCATCACCTCCTCTGTGTTGCGTTCAGGTTTGACCAAGAGAACGTAACATTTGGGCAGGAAGATGCAGGTCAGCAGGCCGAAGCTGGAAGCCAGGATGGCAAAAATCTGGACGGCGACCATGAACTTGCCACGTGTGCTGAGGTAAGCTGGGACGAAGGAGATCCACACGATGAAGAAGACCAGCATGCCGAAGGTCATACTCTTCCCCTCACTGGAAAAAAGCAACATGCATCATTCCTCTGAAGTCTCAAAATAAATGTTCCTTACACAAAAAATGGCTCAACGAGAGGTGTTAAGGATAAACACCTAAAACCTCCAAAGTTGGTTGAAAAGAAGGAAAAGTGGAAATTTAATTAAAAAAGTAACTTACAAATGTCATGCTCTGCATGACATCTTACAGATAATTCTAGTGTCTGTGTGTGCATGTGTGTGTGAGTGCCAGCTGTCTAATTTTACATAGTACCTACACACAGAATGAGGAAGTGTAAACAGAAGAAAATAATCCCTCTAAGCAACTTTCCCTTTCATATTCATGTTTTCTAATGTGGAGGTGTTTTTTTCTGGACAAAAGTCAATTGTAAGATCAGTTTTAAAACATAAATATTATATTATAGTGTATTATGTTTATTCCCAGAGTGTCGAGCCATGATATTCTATGCTAAATGTTCTTCCTGTTTTCCCTGAAACTTTGTGTGTTTCCCACCTGATGTGGTCCTCAAGTTTGCGGGATATGAAGGCAAAGATGAAGGCCACCAGAGCCAGCAGGATGTCATAGGCGAAGATACAACAGATGAAGACCACTGAGCCTTCATCACACTCAAGGATGATCTTTATATTCTGGGCAGAGGTGTTTTTCACCCGGTGAGGAGGGAGGATGATGAGCCACACTGTGCACGCTATAGCCTGGGCAGAAGAATGATAACGTCAGTACTGTTACAGGAGAGTAAGTCAGGAATCAAGTCAAATGCAAACTTTTTTTGTTGTTGCATTTACCTGTATTAATGTTGCCACAGCAGCTATCGCCCTCTGGTGGCCACAGGTGAGAGTGTCTACTTCAGGGTTATCGTTGATGTTGACGTTATTGTTGTTATTTGTGTTAGTTACAATGACATCGGGATTTCCGCTGTTGGCTGCTGCTTCGGCTGCAGCCTTTGCAGCTTTGGCAGCTGCTTTGCTTTTGGCGCGGACCGCTTTGAGCGCCTGAGCTCTCAGCATCAACACTGCTGCCTTACCTGAAGTAAAGACACATCAGAATGTACTTTTCACTTATGTTTAACAAATCTACACATATTGGTATTTTTGTTGTCTGTCTGTCCAGGGAGAGGGATCTTTACGTTTCTTCCATTTTTCTCAGTTAAAAGGTTTTCTAGGGGAATTTCTCCTTACCCAAATTGAGGGTTTAAGGACAGAGGATGTTGAATGCTGTACAGATTGTAAAGCCCCCTGAAGCAATTTGTAATTATGGGATATATAAATTTGAATAACAAAAAAATCAATTCTTTTTGACTTGAATGTAAAAATGTCTTATGGTTTTTTACTGCTGGCTTCACTAAGGCATCTAAAAGGATGAAATAAGCTCAAGAGGGGCAACTACAAAACCCTAAAACAGTACAGTAACAGGCTAACTGTATACTACAGAGGACCACTACTAAAGATCACACACACACACACACACACACACACACACACACACACACACACACACACACACAGCAGCAGCAGCACAGTAAAAATGTGCCCACCCATGATTGAGGAAAGGCAGAGAGCGAAGCCCAGAGCCAGGGCTACTTGGCTGGTCATGCAGCTCCAGTCCTGAGGCTCTCCGAGGAAGACGATGGAGCAGAGGAAGGTCACCACCAGTGAGAAGAGCAGCGAGAAACTCAACAGAGCATCATTGGCTTTCACCAGAGGAGTACCGATGTTCACAACAAGCACCACCTGGGAAAAAAGAACAGTGAAACACACCGTTGACTCTCCTCAACCAGGATCTGTTGGCACCACCGAGAGGTTTTCCTTGTGTGAGTCTCACCCCGACAGCGATGGTGACCAGAGCTCCGAAGGCCGAGATGGCGATGAGCGTGATCCCCAATGGCTCTCCAAAGTCCAGGAACTCGATGATTTTTGGTATGCAGGCATCATGAGCCTCATTGGACCAGTCATCCTCACTGCACAGGATACATTCACGAGCATCTGTCAGAGAAGGAGGCAGGGGGGGTGATCAGAGGGCAGCAGGGTTTATCTAAAGTTGTTTTACCTCATGGTGTGTGTCCCATCAAACAGTCTCAGTCTCAGCAACAGCAAACGTTACATAAAGTATGAAACTGTCCAGGAGTTAAAAGTAAGCTGATAAAATTGTTCTCTAAAACGTGACAGGATGAATCAGCCAAAAATGAGACATCAAGCACCATTTCAGTGTGACGTGACAATGAATACAACTGTAAAATAACATCTGTTTTTGCGTTTGTAGTGTCTTATTTGTTCTGATGTGTTCTGAAGAAGTTATGCTTAGTTTGGCAGCGTGTTTTAGCTTTATGATGCAATATTAATACAACTTCCTCTCTGCTGTAATTGGCATTTTTTCTATCACATATACTTGATTTTTTTATTTTTATTTTTTATTTTTTTAGCCTGTTTTATAAATAGAATATGAGCTTGTTTGGTTTGTTTAATGAGAATATCATTCACTTACTTTATTCACTAGATGTTCAGACCCTACTGTAAGGTATTGTCATGTCTGTATACTGACCAGTTACGTTGCTGATCTCTCCATCGGCACATGGGATACAGTCAAAGCAGCAGACCGGCTCTCCCTGCCGGATTCCCTTCCTGGTGCCTGGCCGGCAGTTCTCGCTGCACACTGATCGAGGAGGCTGCAACACACCAATTTATACGTATACATACACATAATCACAAGTACAGAGAAAGTCACATACTATGAATTGTCTTAATCAATATGCTGCTGACCTTCAAGATGTCATTGTTCCACACAATGGAGTCGTTCATTATGGTCATCCTGTCCTCTGGGGCTGCTGAGGCATTGTAGTGTCCCACAGTGACGTAGGAAATCTCCCCGTTATGGTTGAACTGCCAGTTAATGATGTCATAGAAGCCCTCTACATCCCCCTCATTAAAAAAAACCTCTTCGCCCGTGTTCGGCACTTTGTAATGCACGTTCTTCAGGTAGTACATCAGCTAAGGAAGAGAGACACATTTGAGTCAAATACATGCACATAAAACAGATGTACTCACACACACACACACACACACACACACACACACACACATACACACACTCACCTGCCATGGCTCAAAGTTTGTGATGTTAGCACAGTCGTTCCCGTTGAAGGGCCCCTGTCCCTCTACACAGTGCTCCAGGTTGTGCAAGGCGTGGGCCACAGCGTACACAGCTTTGTACACACTGTGGGGAGACATCTTCATCATCATCATCATCATCAGCAGCAGCAGCAGCAGCAGCAGCAGCCATTTCACACATCAGCTCATAAAACCAAAACTGTCTCCATGGCCTGACACATAGAGCAGTGCTATGTTCTTAGTGGTGGAGGTGATAGAGGTAGCTTATAGACGCTTATTGCAGAGGTGACATTACTGGACACAGTAATACATGTGAACTGACCTGTAAGTGATTCGTAACTGGGAAACATCAGTGTAGGTGTTATTGAGCTGTGCCAGAGACTCACTCCCTGTACACAGCCCATTAGGAACCCCCCTCACTGCCCTGGCCAGTGTGCCGTTGACCTCCATGGCCATCTGCTTGGCCAGCTTCAAAGCTCTGCCATAGTCCAGTGTGCAGTTAAACAACTATAACATAAAAAATAAAGTCACATATTTACTTTCATCAATGTGACCCCTCTCTAGGTGTCAGTCAATTGTCAGTCCAAGACAAGATTGTGAGTTCCTAGCTGCATTTCTATCAAAATCAGATGTTGCATGTGGCTAATAGATGTGTTGCCCCCCCTCCCATTAGTCAGTTTAAAGAAACACACCGTCTCCCAGAATTCCTCAGTGAGAGGGTCATCATAGGGGTCCAAATCCAGTAGATGGCGCTCAAGACCAGGGATTTCAGCCCTTTTTACCCCAAAGCCGATAGTACCACCCAGCAAAGAGCTCACCTGGATTGAAAACATGCACATTGTCAACTTCAGCTCAAACTGTGACTTACAGATTTTGTTTATTGACTAGTTTGAGCCTGAAGCTGTAATTTCAGTCAATGAATCAATGTGCTTTGACTCCTTGGTCACTGCTCTACTGAGTTCTCACCCCAGGCTCATTGATGAGAGCAGAGGTGACCCAGGCCTCGCTGGCGATCCAGGTGCGGTTGGTCACATTGTGCCGGAGCAGCTCAGTGATAAGAGGGCTCAGGTCCACGTCAGATGAGAAGACCACTATGATTTTGGCTGTGGCCTCAACTACAGTCTGAACAATACGCTGGATGGCCTCTGGGGAACTCACCTGAAGTTTGTAAAAAATAAGGAATGAATTATAACACACCTCTGTAAAAGACATGGCATGGCATTATGTGCAAAACGTGGGGTAGTGAAACATTGACTGGTTACCTTGGGGAGGGTCTCAGAGAAGGAGATGCAGACACCAGCCTCTTCCACCTGCTCCTTGAAGTCTTTGATACCATACTTGCCATAATCATCATCGGCAGCGATGGTGCCCACCCAAGTCCAGCCAAAGTGCAGCACCAGCTGGGCAATAGCTGTAGACTGGTGCTTGTCATTGGGAATGGTCCTCAGGAAGGTTGGGAACTGGAACTTGCTTTCAAGGGCGGAGCAGGTTGAACAATAGCTGACCTAAAGGTGATAGAGGAGACACACAAGGTTTTCTTAGAGTTTTCTAATGAACCTCTTCCCATCTGTTAACTTCCCTTGTCTTTATCTTGCTTTATGTAACTCACCACTGGCCTACCTGAGGGAAGTGATAGAGTCCAAGTATCCTAGCAGTGGCAATGGACAGGTCGGAGCCTCCAGCACCCACTAGAGCAGCCAGAGGTGCTCCAGTCCCACAGCGGTAGTTGGGTACGGCCTCGTCTTGGCCCGTCAGGTAGGTGAGGGTTCCCTCCACGGCCTTGGAGATAGTGAAGCAGGAGTCGTAGATGACGTAGCCCAGGTTGGTGTTGGGCAGCAGGTCTTTCCTGTCGTTAATTTCATTGATGGCAAACAGCATGGTCTGGGTCCAGCGGAAGGTGCGGAAGTTAAACCTGGAGGATAATGGGAGAGGGATGACATAACAGTATGTTTTATGAATTTTAGAATAGAAAGAAAGAAAAACTCCACATTCAGTATATGTGCAAAATTCTTAATTACTGGAAGATATACACACACTATTCTAGTCGTTTGATGTTATTACTTAAATTAGCCACAAGAGGACAGTTATTGTTGCACACTACACTATAAAGGCCTGTCTCCATAATAATATGGTCTGCAGTGGCTAATTGGCCCCAGAGGTGCTGCCCTGCACTGTCTTGATTTCTGTAGCAAAATCATAAGGCTGTATGGTTAAAACATAATTAAGTCAGTCGAGTTAAATCTTTCTCATTTAAGGGCTAAAATATCAAATAATTTAACTTTAAGAAGCCTGTGAGATTATCTAAGATTAGTATAATGCATTGTAAGATCAATTTAAGCATAAAGAGACTAAGCCAACACAGTCACAATGATGAAAAAAGCCTGTTAACTCACCCCTCACACCCTGAGGAGACGGGCAGCCTCGAAGTGTTGCCATCAGTGGAAGCAATACGCTTGTGAACAGGAAACATCCCCCCGATAACAACCTTCTTCTTCTCTACATTCTTGTAGCCGCTCAGGTTGAACTTGGCCTTTAGCTTGCATGTGGCCTCTGCTGAAACAGATCCATAAAAGTGGAAAAAGACGCATAATCCAAGCAAAAAGCTGCCGATTTCCATGCTATGTAGACGCAGAAAGGAGTTGGGAGAGCTCTCGCCGTGGCAGACAGCAAAGGAAACAGCAAAGTGTGACAGGTGTCTGAGCTGCTCTCAAGGGAGATGTGTTGCACGAGGTAACCTGAGAACAGATTCAACAGTGCAGAAGTGAAGAGCAGGACACTGGATTACTGTGACTGAATGAGGGAGTATTAATCTTTAATTAAGACTTTGTTCATTTTAGTCAAATTTAGCGAACACAAAAGCATTATGATCTCATTAATGGTGTGTAAAATGAAGTGTGGCCTTAAATGTGTTTAACTGTCTCTGCCCAAGGGCACAAACTGGACCCTGGACCACCAAACACGCACAAACACACACTTCTATGTCATACAAATTCAAAGAAACATCCCATAATTTCATTTCTCTCCCTCCTTACCTCCTGTAAATACAAATCAGTTTGTTCATCTGCACAGGGATAAACTGCCACAGGCCAGGAGTTAATTGGCAGCTGCATGTGGTAACTTGTACAGTCTTTACGCAACATTACAGTGCAGCTACTGTTCCAAAGTTGTGCCTTGTCCCCTGAGTATGGGTCTGCGGTGTGTTGATGGGTGACAGAGCTTGTCTGTTCTTGTCTCTCAGTCAGCGGGGAGAAACACACACCTGAACCCCTCAGCTCACAGAGGGACCTCTGCTGGGTAACAAGGGCCGACTGCACACAAATAGGTTCTTAATAAAATCTAATTAGAGTTGAAACTTCTGTCAATAATATGGCTGTTTACTGTACTTTTATGTCACTTTTATTACATGAAACTATACTAAAGGGAAGTTGTCACACAGAAAACAGGAATCTAGAAAAGTAGGAGGATATTTAGATGTATTTTCTTGTGTAGCTGCTAAACTGATGATAAATGATTACCTTTAGAGTGCATGCGTGACTGAGCCCTTGTGATCTCTCTTAGGCACATGAGAAACGTCTGACTGATGCTGATGAGTTCTGCGAGAAATCAATTAAGTACAGTAATTTACAAAAACGCTGCTCTGTGCAGACGTTTTTAAAGAGGTACGATTAAAATGAAAAAGCGGGATTCCCCAATACACAAGCAAGCTGTTGTTGTTTTGAAAAACAGCTTTTAAATGAATAAAGATCACTAAAGTGAAGATTTATTTCAGTGCTAAACAAGAGAGCAATCTGGCTTGTATTAGCATTTGTGCAAGACACATTTCAAATAAGGCTGCATTTGAAGCAAGTGAAATATTTCAACCATATTTTTTTGTTTATTTAATGGGAGAAAAGATTTACTCAGACAAGACAAAAAATATGTCAAGTGTGGATACTTCCACTTTCACCTCTACTTGGGACGCAGATCACAGACCTGCCCACACCAGCCAGACAACAAAAAAACATTTAACAGTAAAACTTTAAATCAAATTGCAAGAGCAAAATGAGGAAAAGGGTTAATTAAAGTTGTATATTTAAAGATCCCCTCCAGACATGTATTATGACATATATAAATAGTCTGGCTGGAAAAATTATGTGTCTGTTTCTCTGCAAAAAAGTACAATTTCCACATTAAAATCCTTAAAAAGGCACCTACTCCTTCTACCTCATTAATCCTTCTGGATACAAGATGGCTCCTACATTCTCAGTTTATGTGCACTAGAAGCTTTAATCTTTTACATTACATAACTTGTATACTGGACCAGGGTTGACTTCCAAACCTCGCAAATAATTAGTGATGTCACAAATCATGCTCGCCCCTTAAAATCTTAAACTTTCCACTTTCAGCAGATGAATGTGAAAACATCTCTCTAGTGTCAAACTCTGCTCATACATCATCCTGCACAGTGAAACTCAAACATCACACTGTAGGAACAAGAAGAGAAACATTTTTGTGTGGAGGGGGAATTTAAAATGGTTCCTCAGAACCAGCCGTAAACAAGAACGCTTTACTTTACTTCAGTAGTGTTCACTAGTTCATTATCTATTGCATTTTCCAGCCTGATTTGAGTAGCAAGCTATCAGGACAGCTTACCTACGGTGTAATTTGTGTGTTTATTTTAAGCATAAAGGTGCTCCCAAAAAATAAAAAAAAAAGTAATTATTAGCAATGTAAACAATTAGAGATGATAAGTAGCTCATTATAGAAGTGAGAAGTTTCAACATGGAGATCTTTATTAAAGCTCAGTTTTCCATTGTACAAATGTCATCATAGTTGAAACTGCATGCAGTGGCTTGGTTTGAGGCACGTTACTAAGAAGAATGAGCGTTGTTGGAACACAAACAAAATTAAAAAAAATGAACCAAAAAACCCCCAAAAACATTAAATTGCATAACTTAATCTTATCGATATTGCAATTAAATCCAACTACAAAATTATATGTCCATTACTATCAAGCTGTTGTTTTCTATGGAGACGTGTAACAGAAAATAGCCACGTATAAAAAGGCCGAACAGAGGGAGAAACACTAATAGCAGTTAAGACAATTCAGGAAAACCATTCATTTTGCATTAGGAGTATTTTGCCACTAAAGTTTAAGGATTTAACAAAGGATGAGAGGCACAAAGACAAATTCTGGAGGCATGAGAACCACCACGTCCGGGTGAGATGTGTCTATCAGGGTACAATACACTTTTTAAAACTCAGTTAAACCTGAGCACTGTATTCGCTGAGGTCTAAATGACGAGACAGAAGACTGGAGATTATGTTGTTTTGAGAACGAAACATAAAAATTAAGCAGTAATGCCTTTATGAGACACCGTGAACTTGAATGTTTGAAATGGCATCGGACAGTACTTTTACACTGACCTTTGACACTACAGAGCAACACACTTAATAAGGTGTACTTCCTGCTGGATGTATGATTCTGTTATGCTGATAAAGCACCAAGGCTTGGTGAAAACAAGACAAAATGTGCAAAAATGTGCCCCTGCACAACAAAAGAGCAGCCAAATAATGATGAAAAGACAACAGCAATTTACACAATGTGGTTATAAACTCTACTGTACTTATAATTTTGTTATTAGTTAGTCCTCTTGTCATGTTTATTCTTCATAAAAAGCATACATATTGCAGCATGAGGAGAAACAGTGTTATATCCTCCTTTCTGGAAACAGAGTCCAGGTTGGGTCACACCAAAGAAATAAAGAAAAAAACAATAGAACAGGCACATACAAATTTACCCATCATATTGGCCTCCTGCACAACTGCACACTAGTCATCATACTGAAGCTAATCTTGGGTTGACTGCTGCCCACGATGTGTGCAGCAACAAGTCAAGAGCTCTTGTCAACAAATGTAGCTTGGAGAAGATCGTCAGAGGAGCCCACAACGTTATATATCACCACAGCATATTCTACTTTTGGCAAAACAAAAAAAGCTTAAAAAGTATTGATTGGTCACATAGGTTGTCTGTTCAGTTTTACTTTAAACAGACAATCTTCTTCATAGCACAGTATACAGGCAGAAAGTGAAAATGAACAAATAGAGAGAGGATAGTCTTAGGTTGAGAACATTTTGACCTACAACAGTAAGACAAAAACATCCAACAAAAAAAAGGCAGGAAACAATTGAAGATTTTTAAATTCTACTTCTGCTATTCTTTCTTTTTATGACTCTATGTTTTGCTTGTTTTCATGTTCAGCTCATCCCAGAATGCAACCTGAGGCACAACATCAAAGTCCACTTTCTGAACTTTCACAGCTTCTCGCCGCTTGCCTTTAATGGTTGACCTAACAAAAAGGAAGCAGCAATTTACCTTTTCATCGTAAAGAGGAAATACACTGTTTACATGGATCAAAAAAGGACAATATATTATCAATAACCAACATTAATCAATCCCTATCGCCAAAAATATTAAGACCAGGGAGGAGTGGTGGGGGAGAGCAGAGTAGTAGCGCCTTTGCACGTGCGCTCGTCACAGTACGGTCTGCCTTCCATGGGAATGTTGAAGAGAGGGGTGGAGGTACAGGACATAAAGACGGAGGGCAGGTGAGGAAAGTAGGGAGAGGGAAGAAGGACAGAAAAGGAGAGGAGTTCACCAGCCCTCTCTGATATCTGTTGAGCGTGTTTGTGCATTGTGTGTGAGTGCGTGTCCTGTCGGTGTGACGTCGTGTTGTGTTTTATTCCCACTCTGTGGTGCCGGGTGGTTTGGAGGTCAGATCATACATGACTCTGGAGATGCCTGGGATCTTCTTGATCTCATTCACCATCTTCAGAACCACCTTGGGAAACAAAAAAGACAAAAAAAAACTCCTCAAACACTTAACAACCAGAGAGAAAAGCTGAAAAGGCTCAATCCCTGAACTTAGGCTGTTAGCTAAGACCAAACTTGAGAGGTTGAATCGTGGTGTACCTCCTCTGGGATATGGTTGCCAGGCATGGCGGGGATGCCGGTCATGAAATCGCTGGTGATGAAGGTGCGGACCACCACAGAGCGCCGGCAGGATGGCTGCTTTTGCAGTGGGTCACGGTCAAAGTGCAGGGGGGTCAGGATGACCGGCATCTGGCTGATCTTACCGGAATAGCCTGAAAGAGAAGCACAGCCGAGGGGAAATAAAGAGGTTCTTACTGCTGCTAGACAATAATTAAAATGAACGTCACTGTCTAACACTGAATCACAACACAACACAATACAACAATAAGATTCATTCATCATGTCAAGCTCTTCCCTTCTTGCCATTTTATCAATGTCTCCATTTGACAACGGCAATAAGTCTAATTTCTCTTGTTCACATCTCTCGGTCAATTTCTGCCTTCACTGTAAACCAACAAACAAACAACACTAGATTCTCCATCTGTTCATTGCAGTTTGAATATGTAAAAAGTTAAGGTCCATACTTCAAATTGGAAGCTTTAATAAATCAATTGTATTCATTTAGGGACGTGTGGAATGATTCATTGATGTGTCCACAATGAAAAACTAGTTCACATGACTTGTTGAAGCAAAAAGACTGTTATATGGACCATTTATATTCTATATCTTCAAATTCACCTCTTTAATCATATCTTAAAAACATTAACATTCTTCTCACTGGAAAACATTTAACATTTTTAAAACAAATATTTGATTTGCCTCTAGGGAAACGTTAAATTCCCCATGTGGATGAAAGTATGCAGACCAGTACACTATTGGTTATGTAAGAGGCCCTATTGATGCCAGGCTTTGTGAAAGGAGTGAATGGCTCTACAGAAACTATATTATTAGATAATCCTGTGGTTGTATGTTTTCTTTTTTTACATTTACTCAAGTTGCTCACACAGACTTAGCAAATATAAATCCATCCCCAGTGATCTGTAATGCCTTAATACATCGGGCTAAAATAAAATGTTACTAAAGTCACCTGGACACACACACACACTTACCAGACTCTCTAAGGATCGAGTGAGCTACAAAGTCAGCCTGTCTGAGCGTGCTCAGAACACCTGTGGTCAGGAAAGTTGGGGTAATGTCTGATGGCGGCTCTTTCACGTGGGACCCAAACACATACACAACTCTGGAAAAGGGGAGAGAAAGGAATGAATGAATGGGTGTGTGTTCTGCTGACCGTGTGTCTAATGTGGCAGATGAAGAATAAAGCTGTGAAGCTGTGGAGTTTTGTGTATTACCTATTGATGCTATGGCACATGCGAGGGATGAGTCTGGCCAGGAACATGAGAGATTCCCAGTGCGGAGATTCTTTACTTGTGACACCGCACACGTAACTGTAGGACCGGCAATCACCCTGAGACAGACAGAAAAGGATTTTTAAAGCTATAACCAAGTTAGGCTTATTACATAAAGTCTTAACAGAGCTGCAAAGACAACAAAATGTTAGATTATGTGCACTTTTCTTTTATGTTAAAGAAAGAGAGACATTTCTATAAATAGAGTCTGCATAATCTCTGTCTGTTTTCAATTCCAACAAATTCCCCTTGCAATAAAAGCTGCCTGTGTTTGTCTACCGTCTCCTGTCTGCCCCACAGTTTGAGGTTCAGGGTAAATCTAAAACTCTGGCTTTAAACAGGAAGTAATAAGACACACCTACACACAGACGCACACAGTCACTGGCTGACTGCAATGTTTTAGTGAGGAAAGCAGTCATGACCATATGTCTCTCCAGGCAACACTGAAGGTCAATATAAACTACTGGAAAGTGATGTTTTTTTATGCTCAAATATTTCCACAGTGCACGCCCTTTGTATGTGTCAGAGAGACAACATGAGAGGAGCTGAGAAAAACTAAAAGTGCCACAATAGTGACAACAGATTCAAGGACTCAAAAAGTAAAGCACTGAAGTATTGTGTGGGTGGGTGTGTCTCAGGGTTAACCACTAAATTATAGTGGTAACGCAGTGAGACAAACAGCAAAAGCGAGACACCGTTTCAAACCTCCCCTGCTTCTAAACACTCTCCACGTACATGTTTACCCAAGAGCTCCAAAACAAACCAATAAGCTATGTTTGGACTAGCCTACAAAATGATATCTAAAGTTTTGACTTAGGCCTTTAAGAAGCAAAGTCTACTTTAAAACTATTCTGACTGCAGGTTAAATGAAGTTACATGAAGACTGTAACCTTGGGTAGACTTTCAATTCCTTATTAGCAATTATTAGTAAAGCCCATCTTACAAGATAAATAATGGATGAGTCATATATGGAAATCAATAAGTTTGACCCATAACAGAATTATGGGGTTTATGTGAATGGCTACATATATGACTGACTGCATTTTTGTGTCTGTTCACTGTGCAGCTGAATCAATGAACAGAGTAACTGATGAACTGGATTACCTGGACGCCGACAGTTTTGATGGGCAGCAGGAAGGCATTGAGTGAATGAAGGCTGGTGATCTGCATGAGCTTCTCTTCCTCCTCGTCTGATATACACGACTTGACTCTCTGCAGCAAGACATGGGGCTGGAGAGGATAGAGACGGATGTTTAAAGCACCACGTAACAAACACCCGTTCTGCAAGTCATGGCAAATGACTAAGTTACCAGTTCTAATGTAAGACAACCAGCAGCAAACAAAAAATCTTATCAAACCTAATGTTTCATTTCTATTCTTGATTTTTTTAAGATGACAGTGATGATGGTAAAAGCCCTTCCCCAGTGGAAAAACAAGGTACCAAAAACAAAACATCTTTCAATCATCAGAATTATTTGGCTTCTGGTGCAATGTGGCCAACCAGCCAGCAGAGGTTGCACATTATTAACTCTATAATTAAGCAGTCAGAACAAATGTGTTCTCATTTGGTGTGTGGGCAGAGCTTCCACTGTACTACAAAGATCTACGGCTGACAACTTGGCATCTTTTCTGTAACTTTTACCCTAAAATAAAACAATAAACAACAGGGAACTGCTGATGGTTCAATTCACAGTAATTAATGAGTCTACACACGGTTTGCTCCTACAGCATTTTAATGACCATATATATTTTCAACAGCACTTAGAGCCAGTATACTTTTTAGGCTTCTGAAGGATACAGAAGCTCACGTGACACAGGCTACTGCTAAGATGTTGATTCACTGAAAAGACTCGTAGTGCCAATTCCCTAAGTCGTACGTCTGTCTGTGATTTATTTGTACTACCGCTAATATTTGACGTCAGGATGTTTAATGTTTCACTCGGAGGGGTGTTTTAAGTAAGCAGTGATTAACTGAGTACTCAAAATGTGCATGCTTCCCTGAAAACACCGACATACAAATTGGTGTATTTATATACTTATATATACATTTCAAAGATGTTCTGACCTTTTTGACGCTTGCAGAGAAGTCTGTGATGATTTTGAGGATGTTGTTTGTTTCAGCAAAGTCCTTACAGATGTAGGGCTCCTCTGCACAAATCACTCTGATGGACAAACCAGGACCTAAAGGCACACAGAGAGCAAGTTTAGCAGTGATGTGAGACAGTTTGGAGTCTCTGATTGAATTAGTGCATTGGTACACAGGGAAAAGACAGACAGATCAGACAACATCACTGAGCAATAAGTTTATACAAATCACTTTTGTCAGAGCAGTCACATCATAGAAATGAGTTTGTGTACTTGCCAGGGAAAGGGTGTCGGGAGACAATCTCCTCTGGCAGGCCCAGCTCTCTCCCCAGCGCTCTGACTTCATCTTTATGGAAATCTTTCAGCGGTTCGATTACTTTACCCTGGAGGATCACAAAGGGGTGAGATCAGCATTGCAACAGTGACGATGTGCTTAGGTGTTGCATAGTTGTGCATTTATAGAAAACGGCCAAACAAAACACCAGAAACACCAAATAATATATGAGCACTAAACAGCTGATAAGGAGACGAGTGTAATACAGTTTTGGGGGATGAAGATAATACAGAAATACATTTCCACTAAAAAAGGTAAATAATATTTAGATGTTTGTCATCCTCAAACAGAAACAGGACATCATCAGAAGATGTTCTTCAGTGAGCTTGGTGCTGCGTGACAGCTCTGCCTTTGTGACTTTCATTATCTCTGCTCTCAAATGCAGCAGCAGATGCTCTTTTCACACTGACTAATGGTTTGCAGCAGAAGTCAATGTTACCATGATATCATGCAGTTCTACAAAGCATTATGAGATATACAATTGCACAGTTTGATAATCTTTCTGTGCAACTGCATTATCAAACTGTTTGCCTGCTACAAAAACTATTTGTATCAGAGGCTAAATGTCAGCTTTTACCATTTACAGTACTTCAGTGTCCTCTAAACTAATCGGTATTCTTCAAATGCATACTATGGTTTTTAATGCTAAGAGGTGTTGTGTTTTTGGCCTTGGGTATTGTGAAATATGTTTTCCACTGCACCAAAATGAATAAGTTTACCAAATTATAATATTCTGCCATTTTTGTGACCGATGCACTTGTCAGATGTCTTGCTGTTATTTAGCATTCAACTTAAAATGATTTATTATTAGTTTGTATAGCGTCGTGTTCAGGGGTCCTGCCTATCTTCTTGTCTCATGGTATACATGTATGCATTCACAACTCATGAAGGCACAGTTGCTCTATATTCTCACTTTACTGCATGATAGCCATTCTCTGAAGCAGCAGTATGCATCAGGGAAATGAATGAAGTTAGTATTTGAGTGGGTATGTGCATGTGTGCAGTACCTCATCTCGGAGTTTGCGGATGAGCTCAGTGTCGTTGTGGTGTGTTTTGATGACCTCTGCCTTGCCGCTGGCAAGATGAGAGGCACTCTCAATGAGATCGGGCCGTAAGGTACCCTGGGCCAGGAAAACCTCTTCTGGCTTCAGATTCATCTCTCCTATCACTTCATTTGCCACCTGTAAAGCAAAGCAATTCACAGAGTCAGATACAACAGTGAGCCAGTGAATTAAAAACAAACAATAGAGTAACCATATTGGCAGATGCGTACAAATGTGTAATAAAGAATTCAGCTGAACTAACAATGTGATAAATGACGATGTATTACATGGGAACAAGGCCGTAGGGCAGACTCGCTGGCAGATCCAAATAAAAATGTTATTATTAAAACTTTAATAAGTAGCCCTTTTCATTAACAGAATTCATTAAATCCTAATACTCACTTTGACAAATGTATCTCCAATGATTTTCCTTTTTTCTTCCGGGTTGGTAGTCATATTCAAAGTCTTGCTGATGCGTTTTCGTGGTGTCCTGTCCTCCTCAGAAATGGGGAGGGTTGTCGTTCCGTTGTAGAAGGTGTGAGCTGCATTTACCACTAGATACAGCAACATTTTCGAGGAGAGAGAGAAAGAAAGGCAGAACAACCAATTGGCTTACGAGCAACAGAATAATGTCACAAAGATACTTCAGTATCTTGTTATATCCAGACTTCAACAGTTCTTTTCATAACTAATGACTAAAATGTAAAAAACTAATCTCAATTACCTGTCACAAAGCAATTTAAAGTGCAATCACAAGTAGAATTTTTTTCTTATTTCACTTCATTAGGGACTTCTGTTAGATTACAATCTCTTCAACAATTGTGCATCACAAGAACTCTTTTATATTATCGCCATGATACGATTCTATATTGATTATGCTTTAGACCTTTACGGCCTCATTGTGCCATCCCTATGACATTTAGGCCACTTGTCCCTACCTTTGAGTTTGATGCCCAGCTTGGTGAGGGCCTCCTCCACACTCTGACTCTCTCTCTTCCTCATGAAGCCGTTGTCGATGTGCACTGCTATCACCTGGTCCTGGTTGAGGGCTTTGTTTAGGAGAGCTGTGCAAACTGTGGAGTCCACCCCACCACTCAGCAGCACCTGAGGAAAATCATTGAAAAACAGTCACAACTGAGCCACCTCTTTAATCAATGTCAATATGTCTAATTTCTATTCGTGTTAGCCTCCCATTATATTGGTCATGTTGTCTTTGGTACATCTATTGTTATGTGTGCTGGCAGGCATATATTAGGCATTATAAACTGAACAGCTGAGATGACTACAGCCTTGACACTTCTTTACCTATAATTGGTCGTCTACCAACTCTCACACAAGCACACACAATGCCACACTTGCCAAATGCTACTGCAGGAACAAGATATGACAAAGTATAGTGAAAGATGCGCCCCTCAGACTGTAGTTGAGGAACAAGAAACAGAGTCTGCATGTATTTCTTTAAATATAATTCATATGCTTTGAGCCTGTTCCCTACATTCATTTGTCGCCTTCACACTCCCCTGAGATGAAGCCCAGTTTGAAGCCGCTCGGGGAGACGACTACCTCTTTTCAGATAAAACAGGGTTTAATTTGAGAGTTTAATTGGTTCTACTTAACTTCCCACCACTGCTGCCGTCACCACTTCCTGTACAGCTACCGCACTTCAAACTCAGCACCCCAGCTTTAGACGTTTTGTCAAATGATCTCCCATTGTGGGTTTAAAATGCGCAGATCATTTTTTCCCTGTTTACTTCCTTTTGTTAAAATCATCTCTCTGCCCTTGAATTGGACTTTGGATGCCCCACACACACACACACACACACACACACACACACACACACACACACAGCTGTACAGGTTTCCCTCACCAGCACTTTAGACTTGTCTACTTTTTCTCTGATCTCGTCGATGCAGGCCTGTTGGCGGTTCTGTACGGTAAAGTTACTCGTGCATCCTGCAATCTCAAACAGGAAGGTACGCAGCATCTCCATGCCTCGCTCCGTCAAGTCGACTTCAGGGTGAAACTGCGTCCCATACAGCTTCTTCTGTTCGTTAGCAATCCCTGTTGGAGAAGACAGCTGTGACAAAGGACTTTCAACATTCCCTAAATGCTTTTAAAAAATAAGTTTATGCAAAACTAGTATAACATGACAAAGTCTGAGGCTTCCTTACACAAAAAAACCCCCAAAAAAATCAACAATAAATGCATCTGTTTGTTTTGTCTATGACCACAATATAATTTTAGATTATGTCACTCAGGGTCACAGCAGATCCCGCGAGCTGCTCACCGGCAATGATGTTCCCTGATTGGGCCACCACTTTAAAGCCATCAGCCACTTTATCCACACTATCTCCATGGGTCAGCAGGACCAGTTCCTCCTTCTGCAAGCCTCTGATAAGAAAAACACACAACATACACCGACATCAGAGGATAATGCGTGTTTGATAACATTGCACAAATACTATACGTGTACAGGCCCTGCTTTTTGCTGTGTGCATGTGAGTTAAATGAGAGAGGACAGTAATAAAAAGACTGCAGCCATCTATTTTAGACTCTGCAGTATTTGTGTAACAACCAGGGGAAATATGTGACAGCTGGAATGCTCCCGCAGTTTATGTAGTAAATGTGGCACTGGGACAAACCCAAGCAGCAGTTGTAACAATATTGAGCTTCAGCCACTGATTGAGAATGCCATCAAAATGTTCTACAAAGCATAAATGAGCTCTACAGTGTCTCGCTGTCATTTAAAGAAATATTGGATGTTCAACTTAAAAGGTTTTGTATTCCAGCAGTAAATTGCAACATGCAGTGCCCTCCTCCTCCTGCAGCTGCATGCACTGGCAAACACAGGCTGAAAGGGGTGACTGGCTAGTAAAAAAAAAAGAAAATCTGCTCCATTGTTCAACCTCAGTTCATCTGTAGAGTGACACTGTCTTCCATGTATGAATTTCCTCTCTACACTTTGTATCAGGCCATGATGTTCTTGCACCAAGTCTGTTTGTTCTGTCCTCAATTCTCAGTATGTTTCTCCTCAGTCTGTCTCTCGCCAAATATTTCTGGTTGTAAAGTTATAAAAGGCAAAGAATGTGGAAGGACATGCAGCTCAAATAAGCCAATTAGAAAAATACTGACACATATTTATAATATAACAACACATAAAAGATTAGACTAATTTTCCTGTGATCCACCTGAGCAAGCATATTACCTGAAGAGAGAACAAGTGTTGTCCAGTCCAATACTGAACACTCCATCTTCCCTCACACTCTTTTTGTGTACTGTGCCGCCAAAAACCTTATTCATCATCTGTAACACAAAGCACACACAGAGCAGAGTTAACACTTAGACACAAAGATTACATTCTAGTGTGACTCCAAAGATGCTACAGCTGCCTGCAATTCGGAGAAATGTTGAACAGAAGATAAGGATGCTGGTTTTAATTTCCAGGCTAGCTGGGAAAATTGAGCGAGTGATGCTCTCATCTCCCTTAGCTAGTGTCAAAGTGCCCTTGAAGACAGTGGTAAAGTCCCAGATAGCCCAGGAGAGCTGAACAGCAGCCTGGAGTCGACTGATAGTAACGTACAGCTACTCTGAGTGAATGTGTGTAAAACAAATTCTTCCTTGAACAAAGGCCTTGTGGAAGACGGATGTTCTACTTAATCACTATAAAGGCCTCCCATCACAGAATATGACTGTGTGTGTGCATGCATGTGCATAGATACCTGCATCCCATAGCAAATCCCAAGGACAGGCTTTCCTATGGTGAATATGGCAGGGTCGAACCAGGGGGCATCTTCTGCATACACAGAAGCAGGACCTCCTGAAATGATAATTGCCCTAGGAATAGAAAAGAGAAATAACAATCAAGCAAAGATGTATTTTAATACACTTTCATATCGACTTTATGGTAATTCTATAATGCAGAAAACAATGCTCTCTGGTTCAAATGCTTCTCATGCTTACCTGTAGCCCTGTTCTCTGATAGCAAAGGCTGGGGTCTCTAAAGGGAGGATCTCAGAGCGTACACACAGCTCTCGCACCCGCCTGTCAATCACCTTTCCGTACTGGGCCCCAGCATCCAGGATCGCCACCGCTCCCTCACATGACCCATTCTGCTCTGCGCTGCTGATCTCCAGCTGTGAACACACATTCAGAAAACACACAATGTCTTGTTGAAAGTGTTTGTGTTGAGCTGAGTAGACAAAAGTATACATCCATGGTTGCATTTGCACGCTGGTGACTACCAAGCGACGGGACAGGACTAGCACTAACACACAAAAGACACAGTCTCGATGCGGTCCTTTAGTGTCAACAACTTTGTAGTGCTTTAGACGAGAGGTGGTGTAAGGTAGCCCACTCTTCCTAGACTTAACTGTACTCCACCTCTGACCTCCCCGTGGTAACTGTGACTCAATAACATAACTAACATAGTTATATAGTTACTAACATAATTATGGACATGTGAGCTCCCATACAGACAGACAGTCACTCTTGTGAAACGTGCTGTAACCATTCAGCCCATCAGTAGAATCACATGAAACCCACAAGTTAGTCAAAGGTTATTAGTGCAGACCTGTGTATCACTTGTATCACAGTGTGCTCTGTTTCTCTCCAACTCTGTCCCCGTGGATGTTATTTTTATAAACAAATACGCACTGATCGGAACTTGGGACACAGATTTCAGTACAAGAACAAGAGAGAAGTCAGGCCACAGACAGCTCATTGATCTCCATAAAACAACAAAACTGAGTAGATGAGGACAGTCAGAAGAGAAACACGATCCCACGTGGTTAGTGCAAACACTTCCGCGGTAGATGTTTCTAAAAACAACTCGCATTAAGCATGCTAACAATCACCGCTGACTCGTTCAATTAAAAAAAAGGTACACTGAAGAACTGTCGTTAAAACAATCACAGCGGCTCTGGCAGAATAATATCACAACAGAAATCATCTCCAGCTTCACAGCAAACTTTACCAAATCAGCTGGTAACACAGCAGCAGTGGCTCCAGTCGTCAGACCGGTATCCGCGGGTTGGCTCATACTAGCTTATTAGCTAGTGACGACGTTAGCAGACCTGGCTGTCAGTCACTCTTCCGCTAGCTTTAAATGTGTGTGACAGCAGGACTCCGACAGTAATTAGTCCGCCACAGTGTCACTTTCCACACTGAACACCAGAGCAATCACAGTACTCGACTTTAGGTCGGCAGCACTATCGGTACAATTTCAGTCTGCCCGGCTAAAGCTAGCTGTAGCTCGTAATCACCGTTAGCCTGTTAGCTGCTGGCTATGTTAGCCTAGCTATGCTAAAACCCACGCGGTGCTTGGAGGCAAAAGGGTCTTTGAGAGAGAGAGAGGGAGAGAGGGGAGGGGGGGTATCCACCATGAGAAGGCAACTAGGTTTATGGGCGAAATATGATAAATATTTTACTTATGCTAAACACCATTGAGATCTCCTGCCCGGCTAGTTAGCAGCTAGAGCAACATGTTAATGTGAATACTGCAACAGGCGTACAACCGCGCACTCATTGCTCCTCAGCGTACTGCTGGTAACGTTACATGCTCTCTAACTTTCCCCCCTCCTCCCCTAGAGGTACACACAGGCCGTAATTAACCGAGGGGGGGGTCTACACCAGCAAACCAGGGTCCTAACACGAAGTCAACCGGGCTGCCCAGTACCGGAGTAGCGGGCACAGCCTGCTCCACTGACCTTGCTGTCTCCGTTGCACAGAGCCATGGAGGACTGCCGTGTTGTGGAATGAGCTGCTCTCCCCTTCGCCTCGCTGTCCCAGGTCTCAGAGAGAGAGAGAGAGAGAGAGAGAGAGAGGGAGGGAGGGAGCTACTGGTTAGCTCCTGGCTCAGCACGCCGACTACTGTTTCAACAGCAGATTGGACTGTGGGCTTGAAGATGGGCTGTCACAGTCTGTCCTCCTCCGGCTGGGGAATAACTTTCACAGTGCGGACAGACTAAATAAATGTGTCTGTGGTTAATGGGTGGAGCACAAAGTTAAATAAAAAAACTGAGAGTGGCCCCATGGGGGGGGGGGCTGGGCTTAGGCAGCATGGTAGAATTTAACTGAACATGTTAAAATATAGTTAGCTCTCAAGGTCTTCAATAGTTAGAGGTGTTCAAAGATAAATGAGAATTAGATTCATTTTTATATACTTGAATAATATAGGAATTTATACTTCATTCCTGGGATCAATAAAGTATTTCTGATTCTAAGCATTAAAACTGTGGGGCAGGGGCACAGAGTGATATGTATGAATATTTACATCACATTAAAATTAATTAACATTTTCTGGAAGCTCAATTGAGAAAATTCCTGTAGATTAAGAAACTCATATAGGAATGTATGTTGTTGGCGTATCCACTGACAAATTAATTAATCCTTTAAATTAAATTTTTAGCATAAAACAGCCCTCATTTATTGCCAATAATGATCTAATAAAAGCAGGTTGTATTATTAAAAGTGTAGCTCATACACTATATCTTGCCATATCACCTGAACCTAGTGACTGCACTGTGTTAAATATGTCCACTGATGAAGAAAACCCTGTTGACATACAATCTGCAAGCACAATGACTCTGCAGAGCCTCATACCTCAGACCCTGTCAGGCAGAGGCAGCAAGTATGTGAGAGAGAGCCCCTGTACTTTAACACATCTACTCCACTGTATCTTCCAGCACTGGTACAACATAGATTACAACCTTCAGACCCGTTGTTCATGTTCGCTTTGGTTTTTGCCTTTTATATGCAGTTTCTTTATCTGGCTGATAATAACAGGCTAATGTAGTTGCAGTATCCATATTTGACACTACATAAAGATGATGACTTGCTCTCAGAAACCGTCAACCAGGAATTCCCTGAAAGTTAAAGAGGAATGTAACAGACACAAGGCAGTCAAATAGACAGATGTCAAATTCCACTTTGTGCTGAGCAAACTTGTAGTTATTTTTAAGTAGATATTTTTTACACATAAAAAAAAAAAGGCTTAAAGAAATTCATTTTCAAAAGGTGTATGACAATTGTTTTAAACCAGAGGAAGATGTGTCGTGGGCACTAAGCTGAATAGCTGAAACCTTGTCAAAGAATGCAGAGTAGTCACTAATTACATTACTGATTTCTGCAAAGGGTATCAATAATTGCTGGAACAGATCATTAATGTTATTAGTTCTGCCTGTGTGTTTCCTGCTATGTCTGCTGTGATGAAGGTCTGTGAGAGTCTCGTTCATTTGGGAACAAAAAAGAAACATGACCGCTCTGATGCAAGAAAGGCTGTCAACACTTGAACAATCTTTTCAGGGGGTCTAAACCAGAACCACTGGGGTCAGACAGCCAGATGTGACCAGCGCCACCCTGTGGAGAATGTAATGAAGGACACTTTACCACACAGACAGTTATTACCATAGTCAGGAAAAATTCTCTTTTCTGATTGGCTGGTAGCTGTCTGTTAAAACCAGAGTAAATATAACCATCGTCCTAAACCAGTGCACCAAGAACATTAACGTAACCATAGCAACAGGTAACTGTTACTGGTGAAACAGACGCAACCATGAGCATGGCTGGATTCATTCAGGGACTACAGGGCAAAGAGGATCTGTGGGCCCCTGGTCACCCTTTTGGTCATTTATTTAATACATTTATTTAGTATAATAAGAGTGGATATCGTGTTTTTATCGGTAATATTCACAGACAAATTTGCAGTCAATAAGATTACCACAAACCAGCTGAGACATAATACGTTTGCGGCCTTTGGGGACCTCAGGCAGTTGGTAATTCAGGCTAAGTTAAACAAACTAACGCATTTTAAACATGGATGTTTGCTGGAATGATTTGAGCTCGGCTTCTCTTTTTCTCTGTGATGGGTGACCATAGTATACCTGCAATAATATGAGAGTGAAAATAAGAAAAGGTGCATTATTTTCCGATATCCGGACACTTTATCATAGATTGACACATGCATACACCCTCTCACATGGTTACAACTGCAGCTTCACAGTGCTCCTGTTATCACATGCTGAGCCACCCGGATATGCCTGTGTGTTGTCACATGCCATCTTAGGAGATAAACAGCTTCACATGCACTCATAGCAGCCACAAGGCAGAGCATGCCGTTAGTCATTACCTCTAAATAAAATGTGGCGTAATGGGTGCATCATGACCTTCACCAAAAGATCTTCTGATGGAGGAGAACGTTTCAGTGCAGCTTCTGTTCAAGAGCTGCTGGGTGGCCAAAGAGATTTTAGATCAATTACTTCCATCTGAATTGTGATTTCACTGTATTTGTATTGTAGACTTTAATTGGGAAACCCTTAGAGTTACAAACTAACGCCTTAAAGTCATGTGTCACCTGTTAGTGCCTCACTGCTCTGAATCAAGACTTAATTGACAACAATGTCCAGGACAACGATGACTTATACTGGTTCAAACAATGTCTGTGTTATATAGAAATAATATAGAACTTTAACCACAAGGTCTTTTTCCAGTATTGATACATGTCCATCACATTTGACAGGGAAGTCAAACTGGAACTTTTCCTCTTTAGCTGCCAGTCTCAGATATCTGATATAATTATGTGACGTCTTTGTGTTTGGATCACTACTCATGATAAAAAAGTTCTGAAGGGAGGATCACACTAATGGATTTTAAATGATAATCAATTAATAAATATTATTAGAAATTAATATTATCTAGTCATATTATAAAGCAACATACCATAGTATAGTACACAAGCTCACATACTAATATACACTAAGGTTAATTACATACAGTATATTTCTATAGACAGATCAAATTACTATTTGTCTGCCTGACTGTTTTTGATATTTAATGATGAGGATGAAACTCTAACTGGTTTGATGTTTCAAATGCTATTTCTTTGTTTTAATTGTCATGTGAATGTAACCTAACATACCAATGAAATGATAAAGTGTATCACTTGAAACTAACACTTAATGCTTTAATTGTGCTGGTTAATTGGGCGTTTTGTGGAACTGATGTAATCATTGGTGTGATATTTCCAACCTCTGAGGATACAGCCTCTATTAATCATGCCCCAAAGGATCATTACTGTCACTCATGTATGGGTGCACACACACACACACACACACACACACACACACACACACACACACACACACACACACAGGACTGGCTAAATAGCCCACTCTTGTTGTGAGGACATTTTTGTCCAGTCTTGTGATTTCATGCTCGAATTTTAAAATTTGGACTTAAAAGTGCGCTTTATTTAATTAATTTCCCTGTGACGTTACACTGTTATAACAAAAGCAGTTTTCAGTTTGATTTAGATTTTTGTAAAGTGTCCGTCAAACATTCATTACAAGATTATTGTTGTTGTTGTTTTTTTCCCCCCCATATAACATAATTGTGTATTTGCACTGAGGCGGAACTCCAGTCAGTGGTGGTTTGACACGTCAGCTGTAGGTGTCGGACACATTTAGACGACGCACACGCTGCGCTTCCTGCTTCTTCTGTTGATGTTCACCGATGTAATTTGTTTTAAGTCACACGGTAGTACTTTACTTGTGTTTCTCGCCTAAAACCAAGCATGAAATCTTTCTCCGGTTAATTCGCGCTGTAGCTCATCCGGTTTGTGGTGTTCTCATTAATTTGTCATGCTGTCATCATCACCAGGTCTGCATGAATTCACCTTCTCACCTAAAGCTCTTCTGCTGTGTGTCTGTACATTGGCTCTAATCAACCCACAGGAGTGTTGTCGTTTTATTAATTTAAATGTATGTTGTCCTTTATTTACAGCCTAACGTAAACACCTGCTCGTTTTAAGGTGACAGCTGAAGTTAACACATTGAACTGATTCATAGTTAGCCTTTGTTGCTTTCTGTCAGAGACTGATGAAACAAACTGTGAGTGTGGCTCTCTACATCTTTCTGCATGTGTGGGAGAGCTGTGTGTGAGTCCTACCATCAGACATTGATAAGAGCCTTACATAAACCTGTTTATTTAATATTGTATTGTATTATGATCCATTTGTGAATTATATCTTTATTGTAACTTTATAGATTATGTCTATCTTCAAAAAAAAACAACCTCAATGGTATTCAAATGATTTAAAATATTCCTGGTTCAGAGACTTGCAGTTAATTAGCAGTTTTGCTGTTTTAATAGTTCTCTCTCATCTTTTTCTCAAGATTTGCTGAGGGCACAGCAGGTTTAATTGCCCACTGCTCCAACATGGAGCACTCCGATTTGATCACACATAAGAACGGGCGGCAGAGGAAGCTGGCGGGTGCCACCCTCCTACCGGACCACGTTAGGGACATGGACAGGGGAGAGACGAGCGCCTCTGAACCAGAAGTAGAAGAGGAAGCTGCGGGTCTTATCAGAGGGTCGGACTCTGAGGACAGGAGGCACAGAGTCCGGCCTGGGATCCGGGGGGAGTTGGCGAATGTGTTGCTTCTTCTGTTCCTGTACGTGCTGCAAGGGATTCCTCTGGGACTGGCTGGTAGCATCCCTCTGATCTTACAGAGTAAGAGTGTCAGCTACAAAGACCAGGCCTTCTTCAGCTTTGTCTTCTGGCCATTTAGCCTCAAGCTCTTCTGGGCGCCACTGGTGGATGCTCTCTACTTCAGCAGGTTTGGTAGAAGGTAAGACGGATACTTGTGTGCTGTTTGTCATCATGTGGATGATTTCCTCTATGTGGATTGTTGTTGTTTTTTTTGCTGTTTCCTGATCTATGCCACCCTCCCACCTGATTCTGCAGAAAGTCATGGCTGGTGCCCACACAGTACCTGCTGGGTCTCTTCATGCTGTACCTTTCTGTGACTGTCAATTCACTGCTGCAGAGTGAGGGGGGACCAAAAGTTCTGACTCTTACTGCAGTCTTCTTTATGCTCGCCTTCCTGGCAGCTACACAGGTAGAACAATCACTGGGACACAAACACACATTCAG